CTTTGTCCCTTTCCAGCATAGTCAGTCATGGCTGTTTCCCAAACCAATTTTGTAGGAATACCAAGTAATCAGCTTCCTGCCCAAAAGCCTGGTATTGCTCACCTTTCATTATCTAAATGAAGAAATTTCATCCTGATTGTAATTTGTTGTCAAGCTGTCAAGCTGCCTCTGACTTATGGCAACTGTATGCGTGAACGTCCTCCAAAAAGCCCTGCCCTTGACTGCCCTACGCAGCTCTTGTAAACTCAAGACTGGGGCTTCCGTTATAGAATCAATCCACCTCATATTTGGGTTTTTCCTTTCTTTCTTCAACGTTCCTAGCATGATGTTTTTCTCCAGTGATTCTTGCCTTCTCATAGTAATAAAATCAAGCTTAGCAGCTGAGTACATATTTTGCCTAGGGGAGATCCTGAGTGCAGTACTTGTTATCCCAAGGTGATGTATCTGCTGCTTTTTCAAGATTCTTTCATCAGCAAGTGTCAGGGATTGAACTTTGGGATCTTCTGTATACACTGCATATGTTCTATCATTAGGATATGGACCCCATTATGGATCCTATTTTCTCATTGCTCTCCTCTCCTCCCCCCTCCCTCAATATTTACCTTCAGGACAAGAATGCCTATGAAAATATTTTCTGGACTTACATCCAAGGCTGTGTCAGAACTGTAGTAGGGCTATAGTTCCAGAGGAGGTGCAGTAGTGGAACTGGCTACCACTGTGTTTTCAGCCAGAATTCAGTGACCTATAAAAACCCTAAACATTTAAATAAAAAATTTCAACCTAAAAAAAAAAAAAAAAATTCAACCTAAACAGCTTGGGCAGCTTGGGACCACTTTCTCCTATACAAACTGCCTGGGTTTTAAGGAGAGGTCCCTTCTTTTGAAAGCTTAATAGACACATTTAGTGGCAATGAGTGAGTAAAGAGGCTTCACAAGGGCTGCTTTTAGGCTGTACAGCTTCCTGCCAAGAGAGCTAGGATCATTCCCTCTCCATTGTCTTTCTGCCAACAAGCATAGAAACATAGAAACAGAGCGAGTCAGAAGGAGCCCTCAGGGTTAACCAGGGCTTTGGCATGTAAGCTGGGTGGATGCTGTTCTGTACTGTTCCTGCTGCACTTGTAATTGTTTTAACATACTTGCTTTATGATTGCTTTAATCAAGTTTCCATGCCTCTGCTGCCTCTTCAGCTGCTTCCGGTCCTTATTTCGTGTGCCACGTAAGGGTGGTGACACTGCTGTGGCTGCAGCAGATGGGAACATTTGTTGTCCTTCTCCTGCCTGACTCGGCAACATTCAGCGGGTCTTGCTGGACCACAAGAACCTTCCTATATGATGATGCCAATTCCTCCCCTCTGCACAGAGAAGATAGATTGTGCACTTTCCGAGCAAGGAGAGCAGTATCTGAGTTCTGCTTGCCACGAATAGTGTCAGTGTGTAACTGTCACAGCATGTCACAGTTAGCAATCCATTGGATTTGGGCTGCCAGAAGCCAAACTGATACACGGATGGTTTAGTAGACACGATTTTCAGACTGTTGTCATGCTCCTGGAGCAGCGTTTTCAAGCTATCCCAGCCTGCAAACAAGATTGCCTTTTGGTGTGAAGGCCAAGGTGGCAACACTCGAGCTAATGCATGAAAAGGTCAAGAGCAGAATAATTCACTTTCACCTTGCCAGAGAGGGAAAAGCGGCGGTAAAAGCTGTCCATTTATTGGCAAGATTATATATAAACACGTAGTTCATATCTCCAGCCACCACCTCGGCAGCCATCCAGCCAGAGCTGTTGTCATCACCTACTTCCCTAATCAAGTGGTGGATTATCTTGTCCTGATAAATTGGAGCCAACATCTCCTGAGCAGGGAAGAGGGAGAGAGAAATAAGTCTTACATGAAGTAATTTGCCAGCCTGTAGCTAATAGGGTAGCAGATGTCTGGATCAAGCCCCTGAGCTTGTAGTGCACAGCACAACAGAACGATTTGCTGTGAACAGCCTAAATGTCTTTAAAGGAAGACATCGCAAAGCAGGCACACAGTTAAGCATGATATATTTGAGGCCAGGGGACAAAGGGAAACAGAGATGCTCTAATAGATATTGTTTTTAGAGAGTCTATATAGCTGATTTGAACTTATTTGCCCTGGAAGGAACCATTTTTATGAACTGGGCTCTTGAGCAATGTGTTTGCATTCGAGAATGAAAAAGGAAGCACAGAACTGCTGAGCATCTTTTAAGAAAGAATCAAAAGCTATTGACTCATTAGACACTGGCTCATTGTTCTTGGGGTTTTGAAAGTTGATTACTGGCAACTTGCTCAGGATAAATAAACTATTTTCTTCCTCTTAAACTCCACTGAGGCAAACATTAGCATTTGCTAAGCACACAACTGTGCGGAAGGTTTTATTTCAGCAGAAGACAAAGCAGGAGAGCTCTCGTTCTAATAAACAAACCAAGTGTTTTGTGTTTCTGAATGCTATGCTGAAACAATAGAAAAGTGGTTGCCAAACGGGTGGCATGGAAAGCCTTTGGTACTATACTCTGGGATGCTGCAAAAGCAGATTCTGAATTGCCATGCCATGAATCCATCACATTCCCCAGGCTCAGCTCCTGGGACTGTGTTCTGCCTTGCAGTACCCAGAGTCCAACTTCTGGGTGAGTGTTCTCAGAATTCATGGACACTCACCAGGACCCAAGCCCCACATGCTCTCTTGTGTGCCAGGAGTCACCGCTTTTTGAGCACTGCAACCAACACTGTGGAAGAAAGCTGCTCATGAGGAGCAGGGCTGCTTTCCCGGCAAGCCCTTCACAACTGCTGTCCAAACAGCAACTGTCTTCTCCACCAACTGCAGCCACCTTTTGGGCTGCATGGAAGAAGGTTGCCAGTTGCATAGCTGGGCATCTGTGAATAGCCATGGACTTCCTGTCTTGCTTTGGAAGACTGGGCCAAGCAGAAGCGGAAGCCTGCAAATGCTTGGAGGGACAGATTCCAATAGGGTTCCTCCCAACTCTAGCTGCATGTCGTGTATTGGGATCCCTACTCGCCTCCTGTCAAAGCAAAGGAAGCACGCGTGGCTCAATGATGAAGCCCATGCTTTCTAAGGAAAAGATCCTAGAATTAATACCCACCACCTCAATGTGAGGTTGAGAGGGATCTTGGTTCAAAAGCCCAGATGGTTGTGGCCCGTCAGTGCTTCTAATGCTCTGATACTACCAGTGTGTACAGTCCTTTTAGCCCTCGGAGTCACGTGGGATGTTGGCTTGGGAGGAAGCAATGCACCCTCATCCTAGTGATCCTGATATGAATCACTCACTGCTGTTAGCATGTAACTCCTTGTCCCAACAGCTTTACTGGCTTCTAGTTTGTTTCCAGGTACAATTCTAAGTATTGGTTCTATTATGTATAGAAGAATGATGTAGCTTGAGACCAGCTTCCCAGAAGACCACCTTTTCCCATATCAACTTGCCTGGATTTTAAGATGTTTGTCAGAATCCCTTCTTGCAATACCATTAGTATCAGAGGAACATCTGGTGAGAACATGAGAGCAGGGCTTTCTTGGTGGCTACTCCCAGTCTTTGGAACTCTCTGCTAAGGGGTGTTAGGTTTGTTCCCACTCAAACAGGCTTGTAAGCTCATCTGTTGAGTTGGGTGCTGTTTCATTATTTTGTTTAGAAATGTGCTTTTTTGTGTCTTTGCTTTACATTTAACCAAGTTTCTTTTTTAAAATAGTGGTTTATATTCTTGTTAGGTACCTTGAATACCATATTTTTGGGGTAGAAAGCAGGGTAAATCAAATTGAGAAAACAACATCTGTATTTGGGAGCCTGGGAATGGGACTGGAGAACCTTCTTTCCAGCATCTTTAACAACAATCTGAATACATACTGTTCTTTTCTCACTGTTCATCCCATTGAATACAGACCCATCTGAACTGGAATCACTGCAGAGGTGGCATATGGTGTAGTTGGGAGGTCACCATCGGCCACTGTGAAGAGCTTGAACATGTGCAACCCCAGAGGAATGCAGACTCTCTCATATAGCCCCACAGTCTGTGGCACAATGAGGGCCAAACAGCATCAGATATGGAGAACTGACAGTCACTTCTCCTACCATTCTCATGTTTTTGCATAAAAGAAATCACAAAGGGCTCTGATTGGATCAGATTAGCAGAAATAAGTAGTCTTGATCCTGCCTCCTTTGCCATTTTCCCTGTCTCTGCTCCCAGCTGCCAGTCCTTAATTCCATCCAAGCAGCCCTAGAGCAGCAATTTAATTGAGAAAAATGGCAGACCAAGAAAACCCTCTTCCACACCAGAGCTGCTGCTCTGATCAAAATCAGAGGGTCCCTGCAGTTGCAGAAAGATACCAGATGCTACAATCATAATTCTCCTGTGCAGTTTGGCTCTGAAAAAGTAAACATTAGCCAACTCTGCCTATCTAGTTCCCTCTGAGTTTTTTTGCAGAGGGTATCTTCAGAGAGCTAAAGAGCATCCACAGAGATCTAAACCACTCTTGTGTCTGCCATGCAACCTTTTCCCAGTTATCATTTTAGGATTCAATACAATGAATTGTTACAGGGGTGGGGAACCTCTTTCTGCTGAGGGCCAAATTCAGTTCTGGAGAACCTCTTGAAGGCCACAGTCCAGTGGGGTGGGCACAGCTGCAGGCTACAATAATCACCATCATCACCATCACCACCACCACCCAACATGTGGTAGCTTAAAGCTCTTAATGCCAATAACTATGCCTTAGAAGCTTTTTCATTCCATTCAAGCTTTTAGGATGGAAAAATGTGACAGAAAAGCTGAAAACAACACGTGACTGGTAATTAGTGAAATGAGGATTGGGCCATGGAATTAGGCTGTCTAGGAAACCTCTGAGGACCAGTTTGGGACCCCAGGAAAGTAATATTTAGCTCCCCACCACTGATCTATGAAATTGACTACATTATCAGAAGCCTTTTATCCTAGTTGACCATACTTCTTACAGCTCTTTTTCCACCACTTCTTTCCAGGGGAATCCCTACATGTGCAATGAGTGTGATGCCACCATTGATGAACTGGCACATCCACCTGAATTGATGTTTGATCCCGAAGGAAGGCATCCCTACACCTTTTGGCAGTCTACCACGTGGAAGGGTTACCCAAAGCCTCTCCAGGTGAACATCACCCTGTATTGGAACAAAACCATTGAGCTAACGGACAACATAGTCATCACCTTTGAATCCGGCCGGCCAGACCTAATGATCTTGGAGAAGTCCCTGGACTATGGTCGGACGTGGCAACCCTACCAGTATTATGCTACAGACTGTTTAAATGCTTTCAACATGGAACCAAAAACGGTGAGGGATTTATCCCAACAAACAGTTCTAGAAATCATTTGCACAGAAGAATATTCTATGGGGTACATGGCAAACAGTAAAATCCTCCACTTTGAGATTAAGGATCGATTTGCTTTTTTTGCCGGGCCTCGGCTTCATAATATGGCTTCTCTCTATGGGCAGCTTGACACAACCAAGAACCTAAGAGATTTCTTTACTGTCACAGACTTGAGGATAAGACTGCTCAGGCCAGCGACAGGGGAAATATATGTGGAACCACAACACTTGACACGCTACTTTTATGCCATCTCAGACATAAGAGTAGTTGGAAGGTAAGAAAAAATTAACTTGAATGATGACATTGATCTTCTGCCTGTCTTTCTTTTCTAGGAGAAACTGTCCAGGGTAATATAAATCTTAACCATGTTGTGAATATGCTTTACAAATATATGTGACTGCAATTTGCATATTTATAAATCTAATCTAGAATTTAATTGGGGTGGGCAATTTATGGGCTCCATTTGTTTTGGTCTACAGCTCCCACGAGCCCTGGTCAGTAGAGACAATGGTGAGAGATAATGGAAGTTGTAGACCAAAACAACAAGTAGGATGTGTAAAGAATCCCGTATGGAGTTGGATTCTGATGGATTTCCTCTGTTCTGGCCCATTTGCTCTCTGCCCTAAGTTCACCTTGAACTGAATATTGGGAGGAATCATGTTAAAGCAGAGTGCCACATCTGCACATGTGGGCTTTGCGTATTCTGCACAAAGAATTACCTAATTTGCACATTTTGCTCAAAGTATTATAGACTGTGTATACTTTGCACACAGAAGCCGCTAGCATTGCGGAGCATTTGCAGACCTGCTCTCACTTCAGCATGCTTTCTGGCCAGGACAAAGGATGGGAAAGAAGTCTGACAAGCACAAGAGAGGTGAATTCTAGCCTAGGAATTTTTGCATTCCTAGTCACAAGTCTGCTAATTGCCCGCCCCAGATTAGATCAACTAGCACATGCAATGGAGTTTAGAACATGCTCCAGGGGATGTGTGGATTTATGTGCATTTCTGTAGAAACATGGCTTGGAGAACACAAATTTTCTGGAATACAGTTTGATCATTTTTTTCCAGTTTAAGAAACAAGTATGGCAGGCTAGTTCATCCTTCCTCATCCTGATGTTTTTGAGTTGTATTGGATTGCAATTCTAATAATGTCCATCCAACATGATGTCTGAGATTGACAGAAGTTGACATCCAACATATTTTAAGGATACCAGGTTAAGGAAGGTGGAGCTGCTTGTGTCCTTGGACCCTGGGAACAAACTGGGCTTTGACTCCAATGAACACCATCACTACAGACTATCCATTCCCACATATTGAAAGACACATGGAAATAGGTTTGCTACAGAAATATTCAAGCACCCCCTTGTGTAATGGTACAAGCACTCATGATGTTTCTCACAGGCACATCCACAAAGAGAGTTCAAAAACAAGGAAGTTTTGTTGATTCCTTCCAACAAACAAGTTTAGCAGTTTTATCTCTGCCAGAAGCAGATCCTTTGTAAAGCTGATAGATGTTCACTGAAGAGCAAGACAAGCCTAACCACTTGGCATCCCAATAGAAAATGATACATTATTGCCTGGAAAAATTAATCCATAACCCCCCCCCCCCCCAAAAAAAAACAAACCCTACTGTGAGTATTTCAGCTAAGTTGAGAAGGAAAAGGGAATTCAGAGATGGATCGTAGATGATATGACCATCTCTTCTAGTAAAGGAAGTGCTGGTGTTGCATCTCCAAGCTCTGGGTCCACAGCACCAGCACATGAGCCACAACTTTCAGGAGCTCCAGCCTGTCCCATTCTCCACATCTTCTGTTGATTTCTTTAAGTATGTGAGGTGGGGGCATGTGATGCCATTCCAGGACAGACAGCCCTGTCTCAACAACTTTTGGGTGGCTTGCTTGCTCAAGTTAGTTGCGTTTTCCTGGCTTATCCTCACCCACATTTGTTGGTGGCACACAGATCCTATGTATACTGTGCTCGGTACTATGTGCGGCACCCTAGCTTATTTTCAGGAACAGTGTGGCAGGCCCAATGATTGTATGCGGTCCTTTGGAGAACCCCATTGTCACCTGTAAATTCATCTCTTTGAAAATGAACAGAGGATTCTAGAACATTTTTAAATGGATAGAACTGGGCATGTTTAGCCTTGGGAACAAAAGGCTTAGGGGAGATATGATAGCACCCTTGAAAGGTTGTCACACAGAGGAGGGCCAAGATCTCTTCCTGAACATCCCAGAGTGCAGGTCATAGAAGGAAATGGGGGTCAAGTTCTACAAGGCCAGATTTCAGTGGAATGTCAGGAAGAACATCCTAATTCTTTGAGCAAATGACAGTGGAACCAAAGACCTGGGAATGTTGTGGGCTGGGGCATCCAAGATGCAGCTGGTCAGGCATCTATTCTGGATGCTTTCCTTTGGAGTCCTGGATGAGCAAGGGGGTGAACCTGATAGCCTAATTGGCCCTTTCCATCTCTACTATTCTATGATAAGATGGGCCTTAATGCATTATTGATAGCTGAATACACACATTAAAAAAACTGGCTCCACATGTTAAAAGAATGCAGACCATCTTATAAGTGAAGTCATCAACAATCAGTAATCAATTTTATGCTTATGCTCCAATCTCTTGATAGCATTTATTCCTAACATAGAACTCTGTGGTCTTATGTTCTGTTCCTTCACACTGCTGAAAGGGATGAAAGTTCTCAGGTGCTTTTTGTACCTACACTTGACACACACTGTATTAGCTGCTAGTATGATTGTGCCTGACTTTGCCACCCGCTGAGGACTCAATGCAGAGGTCCTGTGTCAGCAGATGTGCGCCTCTGTACTATACATGGCAAGGGCAAAGGAACACTGGTAGCCCATTTATCAGTACCTGTCGTGACCATCAGAACCTTAGAAAGTGATGCAACCTTGCACACCTTCAGGCTGAATGATGGAGAAAGGTTTTTTCCTGGTAGGGAGTAGAGAAAGAAGTTGGTGGACCTCTTTCAGCCTGAAGGCCAAATTTAATTAAAGAAAAGGACTCACAGGATGCATTCTGGTAGTTGGTAGGCCAAAAGCAAAACAGAACAGGGCCAAAATACCTGCATATTTTAACTTAGCTAACCTAAAGAATGGCATTTCAAGTTTTTAGATTGGGAAAAAGCCATGGAAAAGCCAGGAAATGACCAAATGGCTGAAGGGAGGTAGATGCTATGGATATCTGGGGTTGGGATTCATGGAATGTTGCATTTGGCTTGTAGGCCTCTCCAGCTAGTGATACAACCCACCTTGCATGTTCCTGCAGTCATACTTCATCCCTTGGTCTGAACTGTCCATATTTTAAAAACAAAGGAATAAATTAATACCTTTCTTGTATATTCAGCACAAGAAGAGCTGTGTCATTTTTAGATGTCAGCTTCATATTCTGGGCATATTCAATTCAGTGCAAATATCTGCTTTTCATCATGTGGCATGGAAAGCATAAGGCAGGGAGAAAAGCAGGTCTAAACCTATCGACACAGCCTCTGAATAAAATCGTGCTTTTAATGAGAAAAATAATTCAAATTGGATAGGAAAAAATAGCTTGCGCCATAGTTAACATTCCTCATGCCCTTTCTCTAACGTACATTAGCAGTTATTAATTTAAAATGTCAAAACACTGGTAAAATGCCACTGGATTCATAATTGTTATTTAAATGCACAGCTATTGTTTGACTGATGAATTGTAATGTTATTTGGAGACATCTTTTATATTGGTTAAGCCAATATTTCCTTCTATATCTTGTATATTTCACTTTCTTCATGCCCAATTGGAGGTGCATTGATGGATATTTGAAAGTAAATATTTTGAATTAAACCTCTTCCATTTTAGGTGTTGGGACAGATGTTAAGGTGTTAGGGGAAAACTTTTACAGAAAGGATGTACTTGAGTTTAAATTACCCTCCCTTGACCATCAAGCTGAAAAAGAATTTCACTTTCCAGCTAACAGATTACTTCCTAATAATTAAGAGGCAATGAGGGAGGGAAGGAGAGAGAAAGAGAGAGAGATTAAAAAAAATACCCAGCTGCCTTTCAAAGGGAGCTTTAAAAACCCCTCACAATAATCCCATAGCAAATTGGCTGTAAAAAATTAAGTGTGACAGCATAGAGAATTTATCTGATGGTGTTGCTTGTTGGCTAAACCCTCTGGTAATCGGACATACATACTACAAAGGGGTTATCTGCTGTGTAATCCTATCCTAATAGATTAAATTCATGTGCGTTTCTTCTTTCTTCTTTTTTTCTTTTGCACTCGGCTGGTGCTGATAAAACACATCTTACAAGACTTTTCCCCCCTCTTATAACTCATGTGGATGTTTCCCTCCATTGCACTGATAAGAGTTTAATCTTTCCCCCACAAGTAGGGAAAGCACAGCTTTCGTTCCTGGTTGCTCTTGCTGCTTCAAAGAAGAGCAAGCTGTGATTCCTCTGCCATTCCTCTTAAGGGATGGCAAGCTTTATATTTCACCTGGGTGTCTGCTGCAAGAGACACTCTGAAGATTCAGGGTTTCAGTAATAGCCCTTTTGGACCACTGCCCACATACCTGGATAAAGTATTACCAGTCCTTTAAGACTTGTTTATGCAATCAGTTACCCTCTGAAACCAAAAACTCCCAACACACTTCAATCTTTCGCCTTCCCTTCCCCTTCCAATAAGTTCAAAGGTCAAAATTCACAGTTCAGAACTCAGAAAGTAAAGGATCAGCAACTTCGAATCATTGTCCCAGAAGCTTCTTCAGAAGTTTTCCCTCCATGTAATTGCTGGCCCTGGTATCCAAAAAAGGAAAAAATAAACCATATGCTTAAAATATTCCCAAAAATGTAGAACCAAGATCACCCAGTGTTAGGACAGCAGGCCAATATTAACACATGCTAACACCAAATGCATGGTGGCATTTAGCAGCCATGGGGTGTAGGATGGCCATATATCCTCTTTTACAGGGTACAGTTCTCTGGCTTAAGGGCCAGCAGAGAATTTCCTCCTGTTGGAAGGACTTCCTTATGCAGGTCTAGTTTAAGATTAAGGACAGTGTGCTCCACTGATGCTCCATTCTCACTAATGACCTTACAATGGGGATTTTGCAGTTCTGTGAGTAAGCCCAGAAATGGGCAGAAGCTCTTTGTTCTGGATTGGCCTAGGTCAGTGTCATTCCTTTCTGCAACCTCCACTAACCTGCCCCATTCCAGGAAAAAAACACGTGGACTTTTCCATTTGTTCAGGTTTCTTGTAGAAGCTCCCAGTCCTT